CCTCCCTCCATATTTCCTCCTCCTCTAGCATCAAAGAATAAAACCAGACCTGCCATCACATCTAATCTCTTCAAATAATGAGTTTACATTCAACTTTCTTTTTACAGATATCTGTCCTCGTGCTAATATTTCATTTTTATAACTCATTAGAGGACTTTTCTTGTTTCCACTGTAAAATAATTCACAGTTTATCATCCACAGGGGACTTTTAGAGCTTGCGTAATAACTCATTGTTAATTTCATGTGAACCCTGAATAAACTAAACTACACATCACTCACGCTGAAAACAACCTGCATATTTTTACATTAGTCCCTTTAAATATACATAAATATGTCTGGAAATCAGTATGATCAGTAACCTCTAATTTCAGGTGTTCATGTTGTTTTTATGAACAGCTGCCTGTGTATGTGTCTACAGTACATACTGTGCTTTTGTTTGTCACCGTCTGATTTTGCACCTGTGTAACTTGTGCAATGGGCAGATACAGTACAAGGACTCTGTGGGTCAAGGCACAGCCATACCAGATCTGCCTGAGGTGAAGCGGGTCCGAGAAACCCAGAAGAATATCAGCCTGGTAGAGGAAAAAGACTGCAGTGACCCTAATATGACTTCCTTATAATAACTCCCCCCAAACGCCCTCTGATCTCATCTTACTTATCTAGAAAACTTTACCTTTCCTGTATTTAGCGCTGGTTTTCCCCTCCTACATCCTAACCATGTTCCATACGTCATTTCCTTTTACGAGACAAAAATACCCTCCCTTTTCCTTATTACTCCGCTTTAGAATTTTTCTGTCTTTTTTAATTTTTTGAAATTCCTTCCTTCCCTCCTAAATTTAAAACTAATCATCTTTTGAGTGTGTTACAACAATAATTGACTTTTTTGTGCTGTTTTATTCAAAGCATCAATACAAAGAAGGCGTGGGAGGAGGCACATCAATATCAGAGACGCCAGAAATGGAGAGAGTTAAACGCAATCAGCAAAATATTAGCACGGTACTCCACTGCAGTGAACCCCTAGTCTCCGATTTGCATCCGTTCATCCCTCCACCTCAAACAGTGCTATAACAATTCTCCTTAGCCTCCAGTAGATCTTCCCAGTAGTTGTTGTGTGTGTCTAACATAAACCTGCTTCTTTATTTTTTAGGGAACGATGTGTGTTTAATTTCATGTTCTGTCTCTGCTGTGATTTTTGGTGCCGCTTGTGGCTTTTTGTCTGCGTGTTTTTCTGTTATTGATCTGTTACTTACTTTTTTTTGTACTTTCTCTGCACGAATCCCCAAATTTTATTTGGTTAGATAAAATACAAGGACTCTCTGGGTCAAGGAACAGCTATACCGGATCTCCCTGAAGTGAAGCGAGTCAAAGAAACCCAGAAGCACATCAGCTCGGTAGTGGAACCGTACCACGTTTGCTCCTAACTGTGAACAGTAGAGTCCTATAATAATGCCTATCATACACTTCCCCCTTCCTCATCATCTCTTGCTCATCTCATCAAGCTCCATCCAGGGCCCAGACTGCCCATCCATCTAATTTACACCCTTGCCTTTTTCTCTTTATTACTTTAATCCTCAATCATCAGTCCCCTAAACTGAATAAAATCTTCCTTTTTGGCCTGTGAGTCTACTATCTTCTAACCTGCAGCTCATCTTTCTTCACATTAAGCTGCTGTGTGCTGCTCTTAATTTCCACTTCACAGCTAAATCTCCTGCTAAAGCATTAGGGATGTTTGTCTCCACGTACAGCAGAGATCCTGGCTGCTCAGCAGGAGCTACCAGGATGGATCACTCTATAGGACCAATTTCTCAGACGCTGCTTGAATATACTGATATATACCAAAATAATATATAAAAAAATGCCACCAACTAAAGAAATGACCTCTCTGAGTTTAATCAATCTCAGATATTTCCAGAAAACTCCTCCTTGTCAATGAAAGCAGTCCTATAGGTGTGCGTGGTCTGTATGTTTGAGTTTCTGATTGGCCCCTCGGGGTGCTGTGCTTCTGCCCTGTAGGTGTTGTATAAAGACAGTTCAGCCAAGGGAACGCCTGTGGTGTTTACTCCAGAGATGGAGCGGGTGAAAAGGAACCAAGAAAACATTAGCTCGGTACCTTTCAGAACCTGTAGAACATGTTCTGCTGAAGAAATGTTCTACTCCTACCTCTTTTTAACCCTTCTCTAACTCTGATGTGTCCCCCTGGCTCTTGTTAATCGTATTAATTCACCTGACTGCACTCTCTCTCTTTTTTTTAAATATGTTTAATACCTCCAGCTGTGGTGTGCCTGTGCACATCATCACTGCTAATCTCTCCTGCTGTTTTCCCACTTGATCTTATTCCTTTCGGTCTCCCACTGAAGATTGGAAAATAACTTTATGTCCTTTTAATAATTCGCCCACTTAATAAAAGTCTCCCTGCTAATTCATCCCAGTAGTGCCATAGCTCATCCCAGCAGCTGCCTGTGTCCTCTTGGCATTAAGTCTCTCTGACCACACCTCTTGTGCTGTGGATGCTAACAGCTATTGAATGATGGTTTGGGAGTGTGAAATATTTTAGATCCTTACTACTTTTGATCTGTCATTTCTAGGTTCTGTACTCTGACAGCTTCCGCAAGCAGGTCCAGGGCAAAGCCGCCTTTGTTCTGGACACACCTGAGATGAGGCGCGTCAGGGAGACTCAGCGTATCATTTCTGGGGTACGTTTTTGTGCTTGTTTGATTAATTTCTGTTCTAAGTGGAAAAGTGCTTTCGTTGTTACTTGACTACTTGAAGAGTAAGGCTTCAGTACTCTTTGACACCTCATCATCTCAAAATGATTCAAAACAAGAATCTGGTCGCCAGTCTTAAACAATGTTGCTACACAAAGACAAACTAAAATTAGAATTGATTCAATAATGGAGAAATAATGGATTTGGTATAGAGAAAAAAGACAGACAACACATTTTAGTATTTTAAGTAGTTAAAGTGGAGGCTGGCATCGATGCCAGTTTGGTTGGCTCGTGCAAAATGGGTCCATCCGCCCTGCAGCTTCACTTACCGTGTTTCGTATTTGTGCACTTCAGGTGAGATACCACGAAGACTTTGAGAAGAGCAAGGGCAGCTTCACTCCCACCACCACTGATATTGTGACAGAGCGCGTGAAGAAGAACACACAGGACTTCAGTGACATCAGCTACCGTGGCATCCAGAGGCGCGTGGTGGAGATGGAGAGGAGACGTGCCATAGAGCACGACCAGGAGACCATCACTGGTAACGACAACAGCAAGCACTAAGCTTTAGGAGTTGTTAGCTTGTTAGCAAAAAATAAATAAAACTGAAAGACAAAATACCTCAAAATTACATTCTGGAGAGACATACATGAAGCTAAACTGTAATACAGACTGTTATCGGCTGATCTATTCATGTCCTCAGATCTGCGTGTGTGGCGCACAAACCCCGGCTCTGTGTTTGACTACGACCCCGCTGAGGACAACATCCAGTCCAGGAGTCTGCACATGATGTCAGGTGATTGAAATTCTAGAGGATCGATTCAGAGAGCCAAAGCTTTAGTTATGCTCCCGATGGATTTATTCAAAGTTATCATTAAATGTCAGGGAAGCTAAGTGACTGGCAAAGGATTATGTATTGCTTCTCGTGTGTGAAGCAGGTGTGTCACTGATAGTTAAATAAATAATACGCATTTGAAATAATGTCTTAATGCTGTTCTGACAGTACAAGCTCAGCGTCGCAGCAAGGAGCACTCCCGCTCCACCAGCGCTTTGAGCGGCGTGGCTGATGAGAAGTCTGAGGTGTCCCAGGATGCTGACCACCACATGTCCCTCTACAGCAATGGCTTCATGACCTCCTCTATTGGTAACCCTCATCAGACTAAACAGCAACAAATACACTTGAGAGTGAAGAATAATTTTCCCTCTACTTAATCTGTTTGTTATTTTAACATCTTCAGGCTACCAGCATGCTACTGTGAAGACCGTGGAGCTGCAGCAGAGGTCATCTTCAGTGGCCACCCAGCAGACCACAGTCTCTTCCATTCCCTCACACCCCTCTACTACCGGGGTTAGTAACATATATTTATATTGTACATACACTCCATTCGCTTTACGTGGTTTAACTTTTCTCCTGTGGGGAGTGATGCTACAGGTGATGCTTGGTGTGGTCAGGTAAAGCAGGTTAGAAACGTTCAGTGGGATTATCATTATTTTAGTACATCAGTTACATTATTTCATGGCCTGAAGAAAAGAAGCTGAATTTAAAATTTCTGCTTGTTTGTTAAGTGTGTCCATCTCTTTCCTTCAGAAAACCGTGCGTGCCATGTATGACTACACCGCAGCCGACAGTGACGAGGTGTCCTTCAAGGACGGCGACGTCATCGTCAACGTGCAGTCCATCGACGAAGGCTGGATGTACGGTACTGTTCAGCGTACCGGCAAGACCGGCATGCTGCCAGCCAACTACGTTGAAGCAATCTAAAGACAGAGCCCGCCCACGGTCCCTCCGTAGTGGGCGCGATGCATCCACAGGGCAAACTCATCGGTCTTCCTGTGATCACAACTGTGGCTTAGTGCAATGTGTAGCTTGTAGTGTCTGTACTTGTATTTTACTTGTATTGTGATTCTCGTGGAGTCTGTCATCATTATTATGCTGCTGCCCTGTGGATGTGATATTAGCTTCATGCCATGACCCATATAAATAGATCTGATTATACATAATGTGCCTACTACGAATGACAACGTGTGTTAGATTGTTTTAACTATTCTGTTCCTGTCCTGGAAAAGCGAGGCTAACACACAAACTGGCCCTTTGATTTTGTACATTTCAAACATTTCATTTACGTTATTTATCATTTTTTTGTCCAACGTATTCTCTCTGAAACACAACGGGCTCGAAAAGTTTCATGTAACCCTTTTAACGGAGAGTCCATGTAGAGAAAATATGAACGTTAGAAAGGAGTAAGTCACCATCTACCTCCTCCATGATGAAATCATGAGAAGCTCTCTGCGCCAAGCCTCAGTTTTCCCTCCTTTATAACGAAGGCTGGCCACTAGTAAAATGTGTGTTTTGTTTCTCCCGATTATTTAGGTCCTGGCTAAAGCACGTCCTCTACCTTCAATCAGTAGCTAATAAAGCACACCAAGTTCCTGCACCACTCTGCCTCCTCCTCTTCATTTCAGACTCTTTCATTAAATCACTGCTAAAAACTCTTTTCAGTGCACCAGTCGAACAGTAGAAGTTCCCCGAGCCAAATACAAAACAGTCTAGACACGAGCCCTTCTCAATTATCGGTTCTTACATCCTTCATTCTTTTCCTCACTTCCTCCCCTTGCATTAATCCCTCCCCTCTGAGGAGGTGGCAGGCCGAAAAGACGGGGGAGGAAACGGGGAAATGACTAAATGAGACGTGTTTGCTTTGGAGCAGGAATTTTAGATTAAATATTTGTGTGGTTACAGCTTCATCATGTCCATTGTTTCCTTATTGCCTATTACAGCTGTGGTTTATTATCTCAGATGAGGATGTGTTAATAGCAGAGCTAATTTCATTTCACAGTTTGTTTGTGTTTTTTAAATCCTACACACTTCACCTTGGAGCTGAAAGCTTGATCATCAGTCTGTTGATCATATTAAAAACTCAAGATGTATGAATACAAAGCAATAGCTTCTTGCTTTGTATGTTCCAGCTGTGTCACGCGTCTTTCATACATCGAGGGTAAAAACGACTCGAGTCCTGGTCACAGGCAGGAGGACTGAGGAGCTGAGAAAAATGAGTAAAGATCAAAGAAAACTTGGATTTATTTTTATGGGCTGATAAACATTTTTGTAGTTATAAAAAAATCCAGCACTATTGGGTGAAAGGCAAAGCACGGCAGTGAACCAATAATCTCCCAACACTGAAAACATTTTAAAAAATAAATAAAAGTCTGAGGCTGAACAATGATGTGAATCCTGCCAGTCTAATTTTTCTTAATAAGAAGTGAAAACAGAAGTGATTTTCCCCCAACATTTTTATTTAAAATGTGTCATCTTTTTTCCTGCTTTCATTAAACGCTGATTTATTTTTCCAGTATTCTGAAAAAGCTTTCAAAAATATCTTTAATCAGAGAGCGTGTGTTTGAAAACATTTAATATTAAAGAAATAGAAGTAATAAAATTAGTCATTAAAAAAAACCACTATCCGTATGCTAGATTTGTCCTTAATGCTGAATCATTGATCGCAAGGTTTACAGGTAAAACTTAAATAAGGCAGATTTCTGATGAGAAAGTGAGTGAGACGAAGCGTAGAGAGTTATCTTCACAGCCAGTAAACACTTTAAAAACACAACAAAGTGGTGACAAATCATTGGACTGAAACACAGCTGAGCTGCAGGCATCCTTTTGGTGACACAAGAAGGTAATAAGTAAAGTTTCCCATGGCCCAAAATGGACTAAATGAAAAATCGTATGCCCAGATCCAGTGAGTCAACCACTGGAATTGGCCGGAACATTTTTCTTCTCAAAAATGTTCACAGAAAACATCTTTCTGTCCTCAGTCAGAGGTCAGAGCAGTTTGAGGGCTTAGAAAGAAACCCGGCAGTCGTGTTATCAGCACGACAAATATCACAGGTTACATTAAGGCTCTTCAGCATCACACGACACTGCTGCAGCTCGCAGCCTGCTGTTCACGTTCGAGTCAGCTGCTCGCTCGCTGCAGAGTGAGCAAACCCGCCCGCTGCTGATACTGACTCTCCTTGGCTTGTGTGATCTTGGCCGACAAATCCAGAGGCTTCTCGAAGAAGTTCACCAGCGCCTGCTCCGTGAGCAGTGAGGCCAGGATCTGAGCGTAGCTCACCGTCCACTCGTTGTCCGCTGTCACTGAACTCCTGCTGCCTCTGCGGGCGTCGACCCCGCCCGCCGCCGTCGAGCCCTCCTGGCTGTTGGCCTCTGATCCGGCGATTTTACCGCGATGGCCGACCTCGCCGATCTGCAGCACGAGACTGGTGACTGTGGCGATAGCCTGGAAGAGCTCGTTCTCCTCCGGGTGGAACATGCTGTAGAGCGTTTTACAGAACTGGATGAACTCCGACTGCACAAGAAGGAACAAAGAGAGTTCATTAACAAACTTCTGCATGTTTGTCTGATTATTTAACGCAGAATACATATTTTTGTCTTGACTTTTTGTCAGAAATCTAAAAAAAAAAAACCCAACAAAACTCTGAATTTACACAAGAAAGGTGAGAGCATGCGACTCCTATACCTGGTTCATGAGAGGCAGAGGCTTCTCCACATCTTTCTCCTTCTCTGTGGCCAGATCCTGGAGCATCTGCTTCAGCTGATCCTGGTAATCTGTCACTTCACCGTCATCACCTAAAACAACAAGAGAGAGAGTTCTTCAGCCTCACAAGTAAATCCCCCTGATAAGTGCAATAACGTGACGAGGGAGCGTGTTTGCACTGACGAGGGGGCAGATTAACATAGAGAGGTCTGTTTGTGGACAGCAGGGGGCTCTTCATAACCGAGGGGTCATCTTCAGTTTCTGTCAGAGCTGCAGATGCGAACAAACGCAAAAGGAATCAATAAATCACCGACATGAGAGTAGAGCCCAATAACTCGTCATCGTATTCACATAATGAATAACCTGGAGGGATGTGAAGGCAGTAAAGCAGCCTTATTTTCTCATTCAGCTCCCCAAAGTACAGCGTGTCTGGAAAAAAAACAAAAAAAAAACATGAGGAGACAGAGCAAAGTGAAACTTCTTTTTATTTCAGCTTTATGCATTTTCCATTTCCCCGCCTGTCCTCCCTCTACCTACCCAGCCAGCTGGCAAAGTCTCTAAAGGTGACCAGGTTGTCGCAGTCCTGGTCCAGGAGGGTGAAGGTGCGGTTGGCCAGCGTGTCGGTGTGCTGGTTGGAGACATCGGGCCACGGCACCAGCAGCCCGTACAGGCTTTTAAACTGAGGTCGGTCCAGCCGATACTGCCGTTCTATAAAGGAGCGATTCGAGTCACAGTAGTGCCACGCTGCTGCCTCTGCCGCCGCCGCCGCGCTGCTGTCCCCCCAGTACAGAGTGATGAAGTGCTCCGTCTGCAGGGAGGAGGAGGACAGAGGAAAACAAAATGATTTAAGGTCTCTTTCGCACATCAATTAGTCTGTCAGCAAGGAAGGAAAATAACCTTGAAGAGATCGTAGATGTCGGCCAAGTTCTCTGCAGGGATGGAAACATCTGGCGACACCAGTCTCAACTGTAAAGGCGCATAAAAAAAAGGGAGCATTATAAACAGCTGAGAGCTGGGTATGTGTACTACTGTTGTGTCCTTCAAGCTTCTTTTGAGCAGCTTTAAAGATGTTTGAGATTCTGTGTCAGTCTTCTCACCGCATTTTCTTTGGTGGTGTCTTCGTGTGCCTGGAGCACCTGGATTCTGTGCCGACAGCGGAGCTGCTCAATCTGCCGCACTGTCAGGTCTCCGAATTTCTGAGGTCAGAGAGCACAGCATGAAAGATATCTCATGAACTGTGATGACTAAATGAGGATTATGAAGAAGGTCAGTAGAGCGAAATGTAGTTGAATAAGCCAGAGGTGAAAAGCTCACTTATCTAACAAAAGGAAGCGAAAGAAAACAAGTAAAGGAGCTGGTGCACAATGTGCACAAACTAATTATTTAAGGCAAATATCAGGCAAAAAATGTGCATCTCTTACGATATAGGAGTCATTGATGAGGTCAGTGATGTTTGTGTGCCTCTTAGCGACACTGCAGCTAGTTTCCTCTGCAGCAGGCGAGGAGGACGGAAAACCGGGGCACTCTACATTTCCAACCTGGTCCAGAAAACTGGGAATCATAGGAAAACCAACGAGTTGTTAAATTCCACCCGTGCACATACAATTATTGTATAAAAGGCCCCAAAGTTCATAGAATAGTTTTACTGGTGTTTATAAGTTTATATAGGTTCATGTAATGTTCGGTCTTCTGTCTGTTTGGGCCAGCCCACCTTCTAGTGACATCATCCGGTTAGTAAGGTGGGCAGTTTAATGGCGGCTGGGCAGTGTTGGTCTGGAGGGGGTGCACTGATTCCTGGGGCATGTTAGGTGTGCGTAAATGACAAGTGAGTAGTGACCTGTGTTATATTCTGCCTTTGTTTGTGTCAGTACTGTAGTATGTTACCATTTAGGAGCTAATGTAGTCCATAGTTGGAGCGGTAGGCCACGCATGCAACGCGTGAGTTCACCCTCATTTCATATGCTAACTTATGTTGTTAGCTTACCCCGGTTTAGCTTTGTTGACGCATGTACGGTCGTTCGTATGTCCATAATGTCGTTCCTGTGTTATCAGACCTTCTCTGTATGTTGTATGTGATGCTTGTGATTGTTTACTTTGAAGTAGCGGAGTTTGTAGTGAACAATTAGGTACGTGGGTTAATAAAATAGCGAACGTAGTTCGACCGGAAGTATGGCGTCCCGCTTGCCCTTCACAATAAGAGCATTTTAGCGGATTATAATGGGGGACGCTTTTATTTTGTATAACTACCGGAAGCAGTTCCTGTGTACTGACGGTTGCTTAACCTCGCACTGATGCTATTTAGTTGCATAGTGTGAGCAGTTTGGAGTGTATTATATTTTTCTGATCTTTATATGTGATTATGTTAACTATGTTGTATTATGTTTATATTTGAGTATTTGACTTGTCTATTCTCTTTATTTATTGTTATTTTCCTTGTTTATTTCCTTTGTAGGAAACCACACACACACACCCAGACACACACTTATGTACACCCGCTGTGTTACAGCCCCAGAAATTAAGCGGTGACAATAAAGTGCCTCAAATGGAACCTCAAGCTCCCTCCTTCTTTCGTATTCTGGGCAATTTGGCCTTAAGTGGTGTTCTGGCCGACACACCGGGGTGACCGTAGTGCTCAAAGACTGAATCAGTGCCTATCTTTGATATCTCCACTACAATTATAAACCATACAATGCAGACAAAAGCACAAAGCATTCATGTCAATCAGTGGCACAATGCTTTGAGTTTTGCTTTACCAGCAAGCTGCAAACCTACCCTGTGAGAATCATAAGCGCCTGCCCGTCATCTGTGCTGGACGAAAGCTCCGCAGCATTGGCCTCCAGTACAGCCAGACCAAGCTGGAAGATGGCTTTGATTCCGTGGAAGAAGAAGCAGTCGACCACGCAGACGGCGCTGTGGAACGGCAGGACGCTCAGGAACAGGGTGAGGAACCAAGACAGGGACACAGAGGAGAGGGTGGAAAGGTCTGGAATCTGTTCAGCCAGCTCTGGCAGACGCTCCCTGATGAGCTCCTCGAACACCGACTGGTCCACCTGAGCGCCTGCAGGAGAGGGTGGTGGAGTCAGACAGTGTTGGGGCAAAGAACGGCCTTGGATGTAAGCCTGTCCAAATTTTTCTCCAAGTTAAATATATTCAAGACGTGTTATGATTCTCATAAGTCTGACCTGTTTGATGCCCATTTTTCCTTAATATATGGCTTTTTCATCATTCTGACCACTAGATGGCAGCATAAACATGCTATTCAGTCTGTGCTGTTCTGCAGTTCCACAAAAGATTTTTATAGTAAGGCTTTACTTCTCTTTGCTAAATAGCTGCTGTGTTCTGTAAAGACAAGTAATGTTAATGTGGTTTCCGTGTTTTAACTAGAGGCAGGTTGTTGCCAGAATAAATATATCAATGGTTTTTGTGAGGATTTTTTGCCTCTTTTGAAACGTGGAAACTGTTTACTGTTTTTTTTTTTTTGTTTGTTTTTTAAGTAATGTTGTGAATCTATGCTTCTACAGAGTCTCAGACCACAATCACTGTTCTTTCAAAAATAAGTGACGCCCACAAACATGTGAACATTAAAAGGAAAAGGAAATTGCTACAAATGCAACACGCAGGGCAAAAATAAACACCTTTACAAACACAGGAAATAATGCCTATTCTGAAAGCCTGTCTCAGAAATGGTACATGCACCACAGTAACAGCAGCAACACAGTAACCACTTATGTGCTTTTTTTAAAAGCGTGGCTGCAAGCAAATAAAGCTTCTGGGCTCTTTACCTATGACCCTGCGATTGAAGTAGTCGGGCAGCATTCTTTCACACACGGCCACCAGCAGCCAGAAGGCATCTTCCTCTTTAGCATAAAGCAGCAGCACCGATGCCAGGATGTTCATAGACTAGTGAGAGAGAAAGCAAAATTCACACATGCATCTTAAAGTCAGGATGAACACTTGAATCACATGAGTGGTTCTAGTATTACACTATAAGTGCCACCATTACAAAAATGACTAATACTGCTGCTTAAACGCCTTTACCTGACAGTATCCGATCTTTGGGTTGCGGTGAGCATACGCAGTGAGGACGCGCCTGAGTGCAGCAATGCCCGTTGGGTTTTGGAAAGCGGGATGGTCTGGCAGTGAGCGGTGCAGGTCCCGTTCGATCTCCTCTGTGGCCAGGTTGTTATGGCCCATTGATTTCTGCACCAAGCTGGCGTAGTAGCCCTCATGGGACCCTAGGTCAGAGGATGCATCTGCACAAACCACACAGGAATTAGAGAACGGAGAATGACCTGCTACCCCGTTTTGTTCCCCAACGATATATATATGCTATAAGAAAAATCCCAGGTTAAAATTATTCTGCACACCTGTGCCTTTTACCTTCGATCGGTTTCATTCTTTGCGGCACACAGGAACTATGTTTGGATAAAAGGAAGTGAGACTGAGCAGAGGAACGGACCACACACCAAAATAAAATCTGACTGACTGAAAGAGTGCCATTGCCTGAGGAACAACAGATGCAGAGAAGAGGATGTGAAGCCCAGGTTGGGTTTAAACACAGACACACACACACCTGTAATTCCATACTTGTGGGGACCCTTACAGTGATTCATTGCCTGCTGGGGCCAGGACCACAGTGAGACTTAGATTTAATCTCAAAGTGTGTCTTCTTGTTTTGTGTGTGCTGGCCTACCACATCTGTGTTTTTACTCAGCAGATACATCAGTGTATCGCTCATAATTAACCACAGCGTTCTGCAGCGCCATGCAATACCCTCTGGTATGAGCCTAGTTGGGCAGGGGTTCATCCGAAAGCAAGATAATGACCCAAAACATGAGTCCAAGCTAGGCCAGAATTACCTCTGGTAAAAAGTACAAGATGATAAGCTTGAAAACATGGAGCAGACAGCACTTAAACCCCATCGAGCTGGTTTGGGATGAACTGGACACAAGAGGGGAAGCAAAGCAACCTACAAGTGCCGCACATTAATGAGAACATCTGCGACAGATATGAGAGGAACTTTCTGAACAATATCCCTGTTGTAGAAAGAACGCCACGGGTGTGTTCAGCAGTTATATCTGCCAAAGGTGGCGACTTTGATGAGTCAAAAGTTTAGATTACATTTTGGTCAATAAATTAATTCCATGATTTCTTTTTTAACTCCAATTGCTTTTATTTCAGAGTACAATGACACATTAAACTGCATAATTTTCAATACAAAAATTGAAACATTGGGGTATGTATATGTATACACACCCCAATTTTCACATAGCATGTAGGAAATATGTTCCAGTTTTGCAGATGTGCCACAATTGCGTGCAGGCTAAAACAGCCTAATTAACTTCTGCTAATTTGACGTGTTGATGGGTATCAGAAGAGTGCATGGCCTCCTTGAACCAACACGATGCTTCACTTGTGCAGCACAGACCGTGTGCAGCGGTCTGTTATTAAGATATTTGAAATAGTTCTTATAGTGTTTTCCCTCCTTTAACATTGATGACAGTTTGAAGTCTTTTGTGGTAGTTATGGATGAGGTACTTTATTTTCTCAGATGATAAAGCTGTCCATACTTCTTTGCAAAATGCCTCCTCTTCCTGTTCTCTGTACAGTAACTCAGTGATATTGATGCTATCTGCGTGGTCCTATGCTATCAAGCCAAAACTTCCAGGGTATGTAAACTTTTGATCAGGGTCTTGGGTAGTTTCTGTTGTCTTTATGATTTAAAAAGGGAAAACACAGCTGTGGATAAATGATTTAACCCAACTGAGTGAGTGAAAGTAACGTTTTTGTATTATCATTATTTCTGAAAAATGGACAAAACAAACAAAAAAGCATAAATTCTTCCAGGCTATGTAAACTTATGACCACAACTGTATACACATATATATTTATATACCTGAAAATATCATCCACAGCTCCCCTCGCAGTGACTCTGGTATCCCCATGGCCACAAGCTTTTGGATCTTCTCTGTGCGAAACATGTGGACGCCACGTCCGAACTCAGAGAAATGATCCTCCCACAGCCGCTCCTTCACCTGATTCGTGCTCTGACACAAACACACACATTTCCTGATCCTGATTCTGACTTACTACATTCAGCTGATGGATATTGTTCTTTTCTAACTCTTAGGGAGAGACGAGCCTTTTAAATCAGATCTGAAGTGACTCTGAATTCATTCGATTGGTTATTTATATATCAAGTTACAGGTTTAGATGAACAGTGTCTCAGACTCCTCCCACCTTGTTGCCGTTGGTTCCTGGTTGATTTTGGTGGAAGGCCGTCATGAGAGCTTCACTGTTGACAGTGTTGCGCAGGACATGCTCCTCTATCTCTTCTTCATCAGAGTACCCAGTGTCATAATAGAAGGTGTAGTAAGGTGTTGGGGAGCTCTGTGGAAAATGTGAGGAACAAAAGAAACGTCAGTAATTACAAACAATATTTCTATGACTGGATCCCTTTGAAATTAGAGCTGAACAGTGCTTGCAGTACTTCCCTTAGCCGTCATACAGGAAATGTTTCCAGTTCCACATATGGCATTTTAACTTTGATTAGAGAGAACATCATAAAGTGCTTCTAGCAACCATTTGTCTTTATGATTTTGGTAACAACCCAGTGTATTGAACATTACTGACTAGTTCTTTCTGTTGTGTTGTTGCATTGTTTCATTTTCTATTATCCGTATAAGTGGCAGGTCCCACCCAATTAAACATCCCACTCACCACGCTCCTCTTGCCCTCTTTCCTGCTGCGGAACATGGACCGTTTCCACTGCAGCGCTCGAAGTCTGGAGTTCATGTTCTCAACCAGCTCGTCTCTGTCGTTCAGCTCAATCAGCTGGAAGGCCTTTTTAGTCCGAATACTCACTATGACAGGGTTGGGCAGCGCGCTGGTGCTGTCTGCTTTCTCTATGGACAAAACCTGGTGACAAAAATGGCCAAAAGAAGTGGTAACGCATCATAACACACGCACAGTTGTTCTTTGTGCAAAAACAGAGCAGGAATGCAGACTGGCTCCTGCTGCTCAAGCTGGAATCGAAAGAAGAGAAACATCTTCAAAAGTGGGAATCCAAGAGGCTGAAATTACTAACAACACTGCAGCCACGTACGAAGTATGCAGAATCAGGAGGAGCAGAGGGGTAGGTTAGGTTTGTGAAAGAGAATGCTTCAATAGAAAACACAGGAAACAGAGGATTAGAAAGTATGAATGACTGAACAGATTGAACCACCGGCTAATTCTCACCCCAACCGGTCGCAGCAGATGGCCCCGCCCCTCCCTGAGCCTGGTTCTGCCGGAGGTTTCTTCCTGTTAAAAGGGAGTTTTTCCTTCCCACTGTCGCCAAAGTGCTTGCTCATAGGGGGTCATATGATTGTTGGGTTTTTCTCTGTATCTATGAAGCGCCTTGAGGCGACTTTTGTTGTGATTTGGCGCTATATAAATAAAATTGAATTGAATTGATACTCTCTTCCTTTCACAATGAACTGCAAAGACTTTATTACAAACTAGGATCTAAAAGACTGAATTCCCCCAAAATGCTTAAAGTTTGTCTTTTTCACCTTCATGTTTTTTTTACAGTTTGCAATCTGGCTGTTAATTTGTGTCAAAGAGACAAGTGCTACTAAAGCCACTTCCTTTACATTCCTGACAGAGCTAACAAAGTGTATACAGTGTGTTTTCATTTCCTTCTGCAGTGCGCCACGTGATCAACCACATGAAATCAGTCCACATGTTACCGGTTAACCACAGCAGACAGAATAAACAAAGACTCCCTGTGAAAGCTGTCTTATAGGGACAGCAAAGATGAAGCCAGACTTTTCATTAACAAGTGCATTTATGTTCAGGTAGTCACGACTAACTGTATCACATGACGTGGGACCAAAGGTTTTTGGGCCTTCTGTCACTTCCTGTAGACACCTGCAGTCTTTTAATTAGCCACATGGCTGCATTTACAATGCATTTTAACCTGGATTGCTGTCCATTATGTTTATTGTTTTATGAGACACTTAAAGATTTAACTTGAACTTTTGTACTTTATGAGAGCCATCTGCAGGCCACAGTTATAAATGTCAGGGAGGGAAGTATGTAATAGCTCTAATAATGTGCTAAATGGCAAGTACTGTACCTCTGAGAGGGGTATGAGCAGGATGAGGTTGCCTTCCTCTCGGCTGGAGAAACACAGATAACTGTCGGTGGTGTAGAGAGTCCCGGCTGTGTGGCAGCGGGCGTGTGGTGTCCAAACTGAACAGGAGGCCACCTCATAGAGGTTTTCACTCCGTGGGAGTCGAAACAGAGCCAGAACATATTCCCTAATAGCCTGCTCCTCTAGGATCCTGGGAGGGGGAGATGGTTAGAGGAAGAGTCAGACAATGAGGCAGTTTGAGACAGGTGGGAGAGTGAAAGCAAAAGCAAATGACATTACAAAA